ATACTACATGTGTATAGAACAGTTAGCTGCTGTCCCTGAGAACATATATTAAATGGGGTTTCTGCTGCTCATGCTGGAGGCCAAATTGCTCCATTGATACAGATTTATCAAAGAAATGTAATTTGGTGGCCTTTCGGGAGAATAAAAAAAAAATCAAGCTGCGATTAAACAGTTGTTAGCCTAGCAAAATAACCAGAAACGGCTCCCCCCTTTTTTTTTTAAAGAATTGGGGGGGTGCTTAAACTAGGTGTACAAGCCTTTTGCTTCTGAGTAGGAAAAATAAGGGAGCCTGTCTTAAACAGACTCCACTTTCATTCCCAAGTTGCTTCCAGTGCAAGAAATGTAGATGTGCAGACTAGATCGATGTGTGAATTAGTTATGCAGTCTGGAAAGAATCTACCATGGGGAAAGGGGGAAAAAAAGCAGTCGTTGTTAAATATTATTACGAAATCCTTCCAGTATGAAGTGAAAAAGGACGTGTGTGTTACCAGACTTGAATCATTGGAGCATACGATGAAATCTTGACTTCAATCAAAAAGTTGACGAAGAATCAGTAGAGTTTGTTTCCTGCAACTTCGTTAGCAGACGATCTCTCTTCATGTCTCCTTGTTGTTAGATCCCCACCAAAAGGACGACATCAATAAGAAAGCTTTTGATAAATTTAAGAAAGAGCATGGAGTCATACCCCAAGCAGACAGCGCTGCCCCATCAGAGCGTTTTGAAGGTAAACGGAGAACGGAGGATACATCTGTTGGTATATTCTACTTGGGAGTAGAATAGAATAGAATGGGATGGAATGGAATGGAATAGAACATGAAATAATAATAGAATAGAACATGAAATAATAATAATAGAACAGAACAGAATAATGGAACAGAACAGAATAGAACAGAATGGAATATAGAATAGAATAGAATCTGGAATAGAATAGAATCTAATCTGGAATAGAATCTGGAATGAATAGAATAGAATAGAATAGATGGAAGAATGGAATAGAATAGAATAGAATAGAATAAATGAAGAATGGGATAGAATAGAATAGAACAGAATAGATGAAGAATGGAATAGAATAGAATAGAATAAATGAAGAATGGAATGGAATAGAAGAATAGAATAGAATAAGAATGGAATAGAATAGAATAGAATAGAATAAATGAAGAATGGAATAGAATAGGAAATAGAATAGAATAGAATAGATGAAGAATGGAATGGAATAGAAGAATAGAATAGAATAAATGAAGAATGGAATGGAATAGAATAGGAAATAGAATAGAATAGAATAGATGAAGAATGGAATGGAAGAATAGAATAGAATAGAATAAATGAAGAATGGAATGAAATAGAAGAATAGAATAAGAATGAAATAGAATAGAATAGAATAAATGAATGGAATGGAATAGAATAGGAAATAGAATAGAATAGATGAAGAATGGAATGGAATAGAAGAATAGAATAAGAATGGAATAGAATAGAATAAATGAAGAATGGAATGGAATAGAATAGGAAATAGAATAGAATAGAATAAATGAAGAATGGAATGGAATAGAATAGGAAATAGAATAGAATAGAATAGATGAAGAATGGAATGGAATAGAAGAATAGAATAAGAATGGAATAGAATAGAATAAATGAA